ACTCCATCTCAGAGCCAGCTTCCTGGGAACACACAGCCCGGGAGCGGTGGGCTTGGGGAGACAGGAAGTGAGCCTTGGCTGGAAGAACAAGGGGTCTGCAGCCGCCCCCCTCTCTGTGGACATGCGCGGTCTCCCTGCCCCAAGGAGCATCCCCTTTGCTAGCAGCGGTAGGGGGTGGCCTCCTGCTCTGGGCTGGGTGCTTGCAGGGTTCCTGTCACTCGTGACAAGTGTGTGAGAGGAGACTGAACCCACAGCATGTGGGGAGAAGACCCCGGGCAGGTGCTCCCCGAGGACTGGGGCGAGAATGTGGATTCTAAATGCATGACAGGGCTGGGAGGACCCAGGGTCCCATGGCACCGCTCAGTATCCTGCCCAATGCCCGCACAGGTGAAGGAAGGTGAGCTCCGGCCGCTGGCCCAGGAGACAGGTGGTCTTTACCCAGGAGGTGGGAGGAGGCGGGACCATGGGCCCTGTTGTGGAAGCTCAGATCCTCATGGGAAACCCAAACTCAAACCAGAGGCCTAGAACCAATCTTGTTGGGGTGGGGTTGAGGTCAGTAACCCGGATCAGGAGGTTGGTCTGGAGTCAGGACTTGGTCTGTGATTAGGGTGAGGAATCAGTCTGGGGCTGGGTCAGGATTCCATGTGGAGTCAGAGCTTGGTCTATGGGCAGAGTCTAGCCAGGAGCCAGAAAGAGACCGGGGGTAGGGCTCATTCTAGCACCAAGGCCGTGACCCAGTCTAGCTCTGAGGGCTTTGTCTGGGTCACAAGCAAGAACCTCTTCCCAGTGTCAGTCTGGGACCTGCTTGGGGCTTGGCCTTGGCCCAGGTTTGGCCTTGATCCTAGACCAGCAGTCTGGGGTCGGCATTCAGTCCTGCAACGAGCGTCTGAGTCAATGCACTGTTCTATGGCAGGTTGGCCTGTTTTTTGTAAATAAAGTTTTATTGCAGCACATCTGTGCTCACTTGCGCGTGCCTGGTCTGTGGCAGCTCTCTTGCTCCAGACACGCAGCTAAGCAGATGCAGCAGAGACCTCAGGGTCTGCAAAACCAGGAATATTTCCTGACTGCCCCTGACAGTGAAAGTCACCAACCTCCATTCTAAAGGCTTGGGGGCCCCTCTGCGTGTGAATGCCCAGACCTTTGACCTAGCTCGGGGCCGACAGCCTCCTCCTGCAAGGTTCAGGTGGTCTTTCAGGGACCAAGGGGACTCAATGAAAGCACAGGCATGGAACTCGGTCAGGACCTGCTGCTGGCATCCTGGTCCCCGTGACCAGCCAACTGCAAGGCTTTCTTCGGCCTTGAACTACCTGCTCTGCATGGTCAAGGTGGTGACCTCTGCGTGACAGCCAATTCCGACCTATACGTGTATATTTTTTTTTCCATTTTCCAAAACCACATCCCCATTCACACTGTCCCTGGGGGACTCTGAGCTGTCTGCTCTCAGTTCCCTGCCAGGGCCCTCCCGCTGGCTGTTTTGGGTGGAGCTGGAGTCACCTGTGGGGCCAGTTGGCCCCATGGAAGTGCTGCCTCACTTGGCTGAGAGGCAGCCAGGGCACGTGAGCACTGGAAGCAGAGTTCTCTGGCGGGTGGCCCTCATCGCCTTCAGCTACTTCCTTCTCCCCGACATGCACACGGCCTGCTACACCCTCCTGCTCTGGAGCTGAGCAGAGGCTGATGCCTGGGTCTGCATCGTGGGTCAGTTCCTCCCTCTGCCCCTGGCCACTCCTTCCTCAACATCTCAAAGCCAGCTTCCTGGGCATCAAAACCTGCAAGAGCCAGGCTGGAGGAAGACGGGCAGTTGGCCTTTGCTGGAAGAACAAGGGGTCTGCAGCCACCCCTGGGGCTGGCACCCCGGGCTGGCACGTGGCGCCCCCTGCTGGGTGGGGCAGCCCTTTCTCCAGGAGTGACATGTGACTTCCTGTTGCCATCCGCTCCCTTCTCCCTTCCCCTGCCCCTCTTCCTGCTGCACAACCCGAGCTCTGTCGCCAGCTGCTCCCTCCCATGAACTGGCATCAACAGGCTCGGTCTGGAAGGGGAGGGCTGAGCTGGGCAGCCCTGATGCACTACAGGTACCCACTCACGGTTCCCCAAGTCCCATGTCCACACTGTGCACAGCAGCAACCATGCCACAGGGTCCACGTGCTTCCTGCCCCGTGTTTGCAAAGACCCACTACATAATTGATTCCACTTGAATTTGTATCCAGGAGGCGTCTCGCTGCAGATGAGCCCGTTCTGTTGTTTTTCAGAGCACTTAGCTTACACGATTGGTTTTAATTCCTCTGCTGGCCCAGAAGGCTCTCAGAGATGAACGCTGCATCCAGCACCGTGACCTTCAGGGTCTTGGTGATGTCTACCCTGGCCCTCGTCCTGGGCTCTGTGTCCTGTTCTGGCTCCAAGTGAATGATTTGCATAGCGTAAGCGAGCAGCTGAGGATGCTCCAAGTCAGCGTTGTGCTTTACTCCAAAGAAGCAAATACTGGGTGTCGCTGGGCTGGTGGCTCCTGGGTGGCCACAGCCAGATCGGATTCGGGGCTGCAGATCTTAGCGGGATGAGACCCAATGGCACAGCCTCTCCTTTATCTTCTTCAGTTGCTTCCAGCCAGCGTCAGCCCCTTGGGTCCCGAGCTTGTGTCTCCATTGAGGGAAGTCTCCCATTGGTCACCATGGACTGCTTCCCAGGAGCCTGACTTTGGGGTGACACTTACTGGCAGTGGCATCTCCATGGGCCCCCGCTCTGCCTCTAGGTCACCCTGTGGCCTCGGCAAGGCCCCTCCTCCTCTGTGATGAGAGTGTTGAGGGATGTTTAAATCCCAGCTCTCCCACATCTGGGTTTTCTAGCAGGCCCTGGGCAGGATTCCTGGACCTGGATGTGGCCAGGGCATTTGGAGAGTTGAGAGAGAAACAAGGAGAGTCCAAGGGTCAGCCAAGGTGGCGGTGACTGGCTGGGCCCGGGATACTATGACGGTTGGGTCTGCCAGCTCCCAGAGAGGGTGGTGGTGAGGCACAGGTGGTAGGGGTGTCCTGGGTTCCTCCATCACCCACCGTTGTCCAAAAGTTCAAGGGCTACTGAGTCCAACACCTCATTTTCCAGAAGGAGAAACTGAGGCCCAGGGAGGAAAAGGACTGGCCTGAGTTCATGAGGTCGGGCAGAGGCTGAGCAGGACTAACCTGGGCCTCCTGGCCTCCACTGAGCAGGGACCAGAAGGCAGAGAGGAAGGGGAGAGGCTCTCCATTCCCAGTGGCCGTCACTTGGCTGCGGCCACGTGGATAACCGCAAAGCCCTTGATGTCCGCGAAGTGGGCGCTGACGAGATCCACCTGCAGCTGCCTGGGGCCGCTCCTGGAAGGGGTGATGCTGAAGCGGACCGAGGCCTTCTCCTGGGGCTCCAGGGCGGGTACGCTGGAGGAGAGAGGTGGAGAGAGGCGGCCTGTCGGTCCTCGCTCCTACCTGAGTCCAGCCTGCCCGGCTGTGGCTCTCCAGGGCCCTCCCAGTCAACTTCGCCCTGTGGCTCCACCTCCAAGTCTCAGCAACATGGGTCCAGCTTACTCCTCTCCTGTCACTCACATCCTTCCAGGCTCCTCCTCGTGCCCCGACCACACCTTACACTGCCCCCTGGGCTTCTGTCTCCACTGTTCTTCCTGTCGACAACACCCTTCCCATCCCAGTCGCAGCCAACACCCAGATGAAGCCTCTCTCCTAGGAGGTCTTCCCTGACTGTCTTTCCCGGCTTCTGTCTGGGAAGACCTCCTACCCTCTAGAGACCTAACAAGCTCCTCAATCGAAGATTTCAGGCTCAGCTCAAATATCAGCCCCACTCGGACTCCCCCACCCCCACCCCCACCCCCACCCCCACCCCAGGGCTGCCTCGGGGGCTTGGGGCTGTATCACACGTCCTCTCTCGTGATGGCCTTCTTTCTCCGAGGGCCCTTCTCAAAGCACAACCTGTTCATCCTAGTGTTCCCCAACACTTGGTGTTACCAGGCAGCTTAGAGCACAGGTCAGGCGGATAAAGGACAAGTCATGAGTGCATGACTGACAATGAATAAGTAAACAAAGAAGCCCGAAGCCCATGGGTGAGGGAGCAAGTAAGTGCACAAATGAATGAATAGTGAATGAGAGGATGAGCAAACAAAAGGGTGGATAACTAAACCAATGAAAACTGAGTTGAGTAGATGAGGGAAGTGACTGAAGTCGTGAATAAAGGAATGGAAGAAGGAATGAGTGAAAGAGCAAGGGAGCGAGGTGGGTGAATAAGGGAGTGGATAAGTGACTGGCGAGGTGACTGGGTGGATACATTCCTGACTAAGTGATGGGCATGGACAGTGGGCACGCTGATGGGCATGGACAGTGGGCACGCTGATGGGCATGGACAGTGGCACGCTGATGGGCATAGACAGTGGCACGCTGATGGGCGTGGACAGTGGGCACGCTGATGGGCATGGACAGTGGGCACGCTGATGGGCATGGACAGTGGGCTTGCTTCCGGGGTCCAGCATCCCTCCTGCACCCCCCTCCCCTCCTGGCAGCCCCTCTCCTGCCCAGCCCCCTTGGCCGTCACTTACTCGATGCTGAGCTGTCCTCGAAGAAGGCCGCTGCCCTCCACCATCAGCACGCAGTCCTCCACTCTCTCCCACAGGGGGTTCACCACCGTCACTTCCACCACAACTGCCACGCCCACCACCGCTGGGCCCCGCACCTGGAGAGGCCACACCCGTGAGCCGCTCCTCCTCCCCACCCCTCCAGGAAACCCCTGGTCCTGGCCGGGTCAGGGGATGGGAAGGTCATCCTCACCCCCACCCCGTGCCCATGCCCCTCCTCCTCGCCCTTGCCAGTGGAAGCTGGCGCTGACAGCACAGACCCCCCACCGCTGACACCCTCCCCAAGTCCAGAGGGGCCCACGGAGAACCAGGTGCTCGAGTGGACTGGAGCCACCTTGATGGTGATGAAGTCCTCTAGAGTAATATCCTTCTCCACCAGCAACTTCTCTCCCTTGGCAACAAGGCACATGGCAGCCAGCAGGATCTTCTTGTCCTCTGTCAGGTCCTCTTTGTACTGGGAGTAAGCGATCACAATCGGGATCTTCTTCTCTGCAGGGGAGGCAGAGGAGGGAGTTGGGGGCTGGAGTTCCTGATGGGAGCTGGAAGGAGAAGGGGACGCCCACCCGACAGCTGTATCCTCTCTGGTCCTCACAGGTGAAGAAGGCATGGCCCACAGAGGGCAATTTCCGGCCCACAGTCACGGGGCCAAGGTGAGGAGGGGATGCCGTTCAGGCCAGTACACTGCCCTGACACCAGCATGTCTTTCCCAGAGCTCCCGGAGATGTGGCTAACTTTTTTCTGATCATTTTAAGAGGGACGCCAACCATCAAGCAACCAGCCCATCAAGCACTGAACCCACCAGGAAGTCACTCACTGTTTATTGAGCACCTACTGTGTGCAGGTATAGAGAAGAGGGAGACCAAAGGCCTGTCCAAGCTTCCAATCCAGCACCACCAACTTCCTTGCAACTTCTCCAAACCACACCCAGCTCCGTGAAGGCCCCGCCCTCATCAGCTGCACCAGTGGCGGGCAGCCTTTTGTGATTCCCCCCTCTCTCTGAGCTCCTGGGGTCCTGGTCATGTCTGGCTCCTTCCCACCACTGCACACGCCCCTGCCTGTGTATTCTCTTCGTGTGCATGTGAGTCAGCACGAGCCATTCTGACTCTCATTCATATTTGGGCTTTGTTTTGCACAGTACAGAAACCTGCTCTCAGGTGCGACGTGTCCCTTCTGGTTTGCCCCAGGCCTGACCATCCCCTGCTGTACTGCTGCTGCTTCCTTGATTTGCATTTTCTCCCCTTCAAGTCTTCAACTTGTAGAAAAGGTCTTTAAAGGGCTTGAGCTTGCCCATGCTGTCAGTCCCCACAGCGCTCTGCCCGTGGGTAGATGCCTGTAGAGGCCAGGAGGTGGAGCTGCGTGTTACAGTATCACCTTGCGTTATGGGCTCCCTTAGCCCAGAAGGTCATTATTGAAAGGAACTTTGCTACAACAACAGCAAAATTCATAACTACAAAGGCTAACATTCATAATTAACTAAGGGATTAAAGTGTACTAGGCATTGTCATGGATTATTTCAGTTAATCATCAACACTCCCTTGAGCTGAAATTATCACTACACCCCTCATAATAACATTATAAATGCTGCCAATCACCACCAAAAATGAAATGTTCGTTGGGTGGTAGGAACGACAGCAAATGCTTTCTGTACAGTACATCACTGATGCCTTGCAGGTGTGGTCCTGGGACCGGCGGGATCAGCATCACCTGGGAAGTTGGACCAGTGCAAACCTTAGGCTCCAGTGTGAAGACCACATCTGCCACCAATGAGTTGCTTGGGCAAAGCTTGGGGCAGGAGTTTAGGGGGAGGAGGAGTTGGAGGAGGAGGAGGAGGAGGAAGGCAGCCCTTTATAACATGCAGTCCACGGCTTCTTGAATTTCTTTTGGCGGTGGGCTCCACTCACTGTATGAATGAAGCAGACCCCTTCCCTAGGTCAGCGCTTCCTAAGAGTGCCATCGATCCACAGGATGTGACTGACATCTATAGAATACTTCACCAGCAACAGTATACAGTCTTCTCAAGTTCACGTGGAAGATTCACCAAGATCCGCCACACTCTGAGCCACAAATCACAAACTAACCACCTTGAAAAACCAGAACTTATACAGTGTATGCCCCTAGATGAGAATGGGATTCAACTAGAAATAACAGAAAAATGGCTAGAAAGTCCCAAATACTTGGAGGTTAAAACAACACACTCTTTGAATATGTGTGCTGCAGAAGAAACCTTGAGAGAAATTGAAAAACATTTAGATAGAAATGAAAATAAAATTTATCAAAATGTACACTATGTAGTATAAGTGCTTAGAGGGAAATTCAGAGCATTCAATGCCTAGAGTAGAAAAGAAGATTGAAAATCTACAATCTAAGCTTCTATTTCAGGACACTAGGAAAAGGAGAGCAAGTTAGATATAAGCACAGCAAAGGAATAACAAAATTAGAGCAGAGGTCACTGAAATCGAAAATCAACAGCAAAAATTAATAAAACCAAAAGCTGGTTCCTTGAGAAAAATCAATAGGCTTCTAACAAGGTTAAGGGGGAAAAAAAGGATAAGACATAAATTACTCACATCAAAAATGCAAAAGGGACATCCACTGCAGAGTCCACAAACATTAAAGAGACAGGAAAGGCCTATGATGGACAACCCTGTCCCACAAATGTGCAAACCTACATGAAATGGATCGATTCCTTGAAAGGCACAATCTGCCAAAACGGGAAAAGACTGAACAGGCCTTTGTCTATTAAAGGCATGGAATGAGTGATCAATAACTTTCCCAAACAGGAAACCCCAGGTACCAGGTGGGTTCACCGGTGAATTCTACCAAGCATTTTACAAAATTATACCAATTCTTCTACAATCTCTTCCAAAAGATGGAAGTGGAAGAGTCCTTCCTAACTCAATCTGTGAGGCTAACATTACCCTGATACCAAAACCAGACAAGGAAAATACAAGAAAACTAAAGAGAAATAAGCAAATAGATCAGTAGAACATAAAAGAGTTCTGAAATAGACCAACACAGTCAACTGATCTGTTTGTGAGAAACTTTAAATTTATTTGAGACAGAAGAGAGACGGCGCACTCCCATTCACTGGTTCTCTCTCTAGATGCCAGGGATGGGCCAGGGTCAGAACCAGGAGCCAGGAATGCGATCCATGTTTCTCACATGTGTGGCGGGAGCCCAATTATTAAACCGCCACTGCATTAGCGGAAGCTGGTGTCTGCAGCCCGTGCCGGGAACGGAAGCCAGGCCTCCCCGGTATCTGAACCACTGGTCAGACATCCTTGTTGAGAGTGAAGGCAACACAATGGGGACAAGGCAGCCTTTTTCTTTTCTTTTTTTTTTTTTTTGACAGGCAGAGTTAGACAGTGAGAAAGAGACAGAGAGAAAGGTCCTCCTTCCGTTGGCTCATCCCCCAAATGGCCGCTACGGCTGGTGTACTGCGCTGATCCGAAGGCAGGAGCCAGGTGCTCCCTCCTGGTCTCCCATGCGGTGCAGGGCCCAAGCACTTGGGCCATCCTCCACTGCCTTCCCAGGCCACAGCAGAGAGCTGGCCTGGAAGAGGGGCAACCGGGACAGAATCCGGTGCCCCGACTGGGACTAGAACCTGGGGTGCCGGTGCCGCAGGCAGAGGATTAGCCAAGTGAGCCGTGGTGCTGGCCTGGTAATGATTTTCTAAATACAACATCAAAGGCACAATCTATGAAAGAAAAGTAATTAAGTTGGAATTTATTCAAATTCAAAACTGTTCTACAAAAAAAGAGAAACCACTGGGAAGAGAATGAGAAGACAAGCCACAGCCTGGGAGAGGACACTTGCGAAAGATGTATCTAATCAAAGATGTTATCCCAAACACGCGAAGACCTCTTTAAACTCAGCAATAAGAAAACAACCAACCCAATTTTAAAAACGGGCAAAAGATCTGGCCGCCTCGCCAAAGAAGATATTCCAACGTCAGATAAGCATATGGGAAGATGAGCAACGTCATACATCATTAGGAAATTGCATATTAAAAAAGTAATGGGCTACGCTCACACATGTACTGAAACGGCAATAATGCACAACACACAAGGGCACCTGCTGGACAGGACCTGGAACCTGAGGTGCTCCCATTCACTGCCGGTGGGGATGCAAAACGGTACAGCCACTTGGAAGACAGTTCCGCGTAACTAAACCTGCTCTCACGCTGTGATCCAGCAGCTGACCTTGGTATTTACCCGAGAGAACTGAAAACTATGTCCACACAAAAACCCACACACGCACGTTTGCAACAGCTCTATTCATAACTGCCGAAAGTTGGACGCAACCCAGGAGTCTTTCAGCAGGTGGATGAGTAGACAGACTGTGTCCACCCACATAGTTGAATGCTCGTCAGTGATAAAAAAAATGAGCTATCAAGACACAAAAAACCATGGAGGAACCTTAAATGCACATTGTTTCCAATTGTAAGACTGTCCAGGCGAGGCGGAACTAGGGGGACAGCAAAAGAACCAGAGGTCCTAGGGGTGGGGTGTCCAGGAAAAAGGGGTGGGGAGGTGGAGCACAGGGAATATTCCAGGCAGTGAAAGTGTTCTGGATGATTCTCCACGTGTGGCTATTATGCCAAGCCGCAACAGAACACGCCACACAGAGTGAGCACTCACGTAAGCCAAAGACTGGTGCTACTAGCGTGGCAGTGTCGACTCAGCAGTGGTAACACATGTCCCACTCAGTGTTTGTAACAGGAAAGAGCGGTGTGATGAGGGGTGCAGGGAACCCTGTACTTTCCCCTCCATTGTTCTAAAACTGCTAAAAAAAGAAACCAATTTAAAAAAGAAGAAAGGTTAAAATACAGTACATGTTGTAGTAGTCGTACCATTTGGCTCTAGAATTCCTTCTTGTGAGTCTAACCTAACAAGATAATGCAAGAGCCAGAAGAAAAAAATGGAGGGTCTTTGGCACCAAGATGTTTACTTCAGTGTTATTTTTAATAGCAATAAGCTGATAACCACCCCAAAGAAGAAAAGATAAACAGCCATTTATTTATTTGAAGATTATACATCTATTAAAGTGATGTTTATAAAGAGCTTACAATATTTAAATTACAGTGTAATATGAAAAGAGCAGGCCACTAGGGAGTAGTTGCAATATTTAATCAGAACTGCACTGTTCAAAAAGCAAATACGCATTAAAACTTTGGAAGGGAAACATTCACAGTTTGTAGGTGGGTGGTAGAACTGTAGGTGAGTTTTCTCGTTTGCTCTTGAAATCTTTAATGAATATGTATTACTTTTAATTGCTAAAAGCCAGGGGAAAGAGTATGTTAATTAATATTTCATTATGAAGTGTTATTTGTGATTTAGATTTTGTGAAAAATAAATGAGAAAAAAGCTAAAAACTGTATGACACCTCCTTCCCATGCTTTCACGCCCTGTCAAGCCCGCAAGCCTCACTCAACAGGAACTGGCACAGACCGAGGACTTCTTTGTTTAATTGAATCCTTGAGTTTAGAAGTTACGGGACAGAGACGGGGGAGGGGGAAGAGAGATGAAGAGACACAGAGGCAGAGAGAAAGAGAGACAGAGATGAGAGAGAGAGAGAGGGAGGGAGGAGGGAGGGAGGGAAGGAGGGAAGGGCTGAGAGAGACGAAGAGAGACAGAGGAGAGAGGGAAGAGAGACAGAAATGAGGTAGAGAAAGACAAACAAGCCAGGAAAAGGAAGCAGGAATAATCCAATGGGCTCTACTGGGTAAATCTTATCTTTAGTGCTATATTCAAGGATCATGAACAAGTTCCTTGAAATAATTTTTCTTTAAAAAATATTTATTAATTTATTTGAAAGTCAGAGTTACATAGAGAAGGAGAGGCAGAGAGAGAGAGAGAGCGAGAGCGAGAGCGAGAGCGAGAGGTCTTCCCTCTGCTGGCTCACTCCCCAATTGGCTGCAATGGCTAGAGCTGTGTGGATCCGGAGCCAGGAGCCAGGAGCTTCTTCCTGGTCTCCCATGTGGGTGCAGGGGCCCAAGCACTGGGGCCACCTGCTGCTGCTTTCACAGGTGCATCAGCAGGAAGCTGGATTGGAAGTGGAGCAGCCAGGACTTGAACAGGACCCCACATGGGATGCTAATGTCATAGGCAGTGGCTTTACCTACTACGCCACAATGCTGGCTTCTCCATTTGCTTTTTCTTTTCTTTTTTTTTTTTTTCAATAAGATTTATTTGTTTACTTGAAAGGCAGAGTTACAGAGAGGCAGAGGCAGAGAGAGAGAAAGAGTTCTTCCATCTGCTGGTTCACTCCCCAGATGGCTGCAATGGCCGGAGCTGGGCTGATCCAAAGCCAGGAGGCAGGAGCTTCTTCCGGGTCTCCTACACGGGTGCAGGGGCCCAAGGAATTGGGCCGTCTTCCTCAGCTTTCAGGTTGGTTTAGCCCCAGCTGTTTATTTGAGGAGTGAACCAGTGGATGGAAGATATTCTCTCTCTCTTACTCTTTTCCTTTCTATCTCTCTTCCTCTCTGTAACTCTGCCTTTCAAATAAATGAAATAAATCTTGAAAGTAAAAAAAAAAAGCAAATGGAATAAGGTTAGTTAAAATTATTCAAATAGGGACTGGCACAATGGCATAGTAGGTTAAACCTCTGCTTGTAGCACCTGGCATTTCATATGCGCACTGGGTTGAGTTCCGGCTGCTTCTCTTCTAATCCAGCTCTCTGCTATGGCCTGGGAAAGCAATGGAAGATGGCGCAAGTGTTTGGGCCCCTGAACTCACATGGCTCCCAGCTTCGGATCAGCCCAGCTCTGGCCACTGTTAGCCATTTGAGAGGTGAACCAGCGGATGGAGGATCTCTGTCTCTGCCTCTCAAATAAATAAATAAGTCTTTATAAAAATTATGCAAACATTGAAAGACTTGAGGCCATTCTCTTTGGCTGTGAGACCCCAAGGGTGATCTGTAGGCAAATGGGCCATCGGCTGGGCAAGTCAGGCATAGTGGCGTGGGCTACCCACAAGGACAGCGGCTGAGCAAGTAGGTGCTGGGTCCAATACTCTGGGCTGCTCTGTTCCTTCCCTGGCCTGGGTCAGGGGTGCACCTCTAGGGCCACGCTGACTGGGGCTGCGTCCTGCCAAGGTGAGAACTGTGTGACTCTGGACTTGAGACTTTGTTTTTCTTCATGTGTTACCTCCCCCAAGGGTCAGAGCCAGCACTGTTATGGCCCATGGGTGGCCAGGGTCCTTGTGTCAGAACTCTGGGGGCGGGGCCTGGCTCATGCACACAGGGTTTCCTCAGTCCCAGGAGGCTTCAGCATTCTTTTGGATTTTAGCAAGGAAACACAGGCATATATTACAAAATGCTTGTTAAGGGGCCAGTGCTGTGGCACAGTGGGTTACAGCCTTGGCCTGTGGCATCAGCATCCCAAATGGGCGCCGGTTCTAGTCCTGGCTTTTCCTCTTCCAATCCAGCTCTCTGCTATGGCCTGGGAAAGCAGTGGAAGATGGCCCAAGTCCTTGGGCCCCTGCACCCATGTGGGAGACCCGAAGAAGCTCCTGGCTCCTTGCTTCGGATCAGCACAGCTCTGGCTGTTGCGGTCAGCTGGGGAATGAACCAGTGGATGGAAGACCTCTCTCTGTAACTTTGTCTTTCAAATAAATAAAATAAATCTTAAAAAAATGCTTGTAAATATTTATACTAATTGGGATAGAGTATAAACTGCCAGCAGATGAGGCTCTTATGTTTATTTACTTATTTTCATCAGAGAGCAATCTTCTGCCCACTGATTCACTCACCAAATGCCCACAAAAGCCAGCAGCCAGGAACTCCATCCCTGTTGCTCACGTGGGTGGCAGGGACCTAAGCACTTGACCATCCTCTGGGCCGGCCCAGAGTGCATAGGCAGGAAGCTGATGGGCAGTGGGGCAGCCAGACGCAAACATGCACTGGGTGCTGTGCCCGCCATGTTCCCCCCATTGTTACTATTACCACCAGTACTGTGACGCTCAGTTTTATCTTCTGTCAAGTGGGGACACGAAACAAGGCACGGAGCACAAGGTTCAGGCGTCTCCTTCCTTCCTGAGAATGAAGCTGACCCTGGAAGTCCCACCTGCCGCCCCCCAACCCTGCCGGAGCTGGGGGTCGGAGGCCAGCGGCTGCTTACCTTCTTGGGGGCCCAGCCTCACCACATGCGACTCCTGCAGGATCTCCGCCACCGGCTTTCGGGTGTAGAGGATGGTGGCAGCGCTCACATTGACTTGAACGCGCTGCGCCCGCGCGGTGAGGTTGGTCAGGCACAGCGCCAGCTTCAGGTCGTGGCCCAGCACGGGCGGCTCCAGCGCCTTGAACTTGCCGGTGATGCTGGGCGAGGGGGCCGGCTCCAGGAGGGCGTCTCGCCACAGAGCTCGCCCGGCGTTCCTGCGGGCCCGTGCGCGCTTCCCACGGGCTTCGGCCCCGAACAGCTTGCGCACAGCCTTGCCGTACACCTGCCGCTCCTTCCGCGACCCTGCAGTGCGTCACACAGTGTCCCCTCAGCCCTCGTCCACCTCCACCCCCCTCTCCGGGAAGGCCACCGCTGTGTCACCGCCTCCGACCTCGGCCGTGGGCCTTGCGCCCAGTTCCCCCACCACTCACACACACGTGAATCAGATCAGGAAATTTCACATAAAAATGCAGGTTTCTGGCTTCTGTAACACCTGGGTCAGAGCCTCCTTAGGGTCGTCGTTGTCAAGGAGATGTGGATTTCCCCTGAGCCCAGGCCACCGCTACATCTTAGGACCAAAGACCCCTTGCTCTGAATTCCTGAGGCTCCCAGCCCTTAACCTGTAGGTGGTCCAGAGAGGTGCCCACCCCCCAAGAGAATGAGAAGAGGACTGAAGGGGAGGAGGTCTTTCATAGTCAAGACACAGGGGCAGGCCGGCGCTGCGGCTCACTAGGCTAATCCTCCACCTTGCGGCGCCGGCACACCGTGTTCTAGTCCCGGTCGGGGCGCTGGATTCTGTCTCGGTTGCCCCTCTTGCAGGCCAGCTCTCTGCTGTGGCCAGGGAGTGCGGTGGAGGATGGCCAAGGTACTTGGGCCCTACACCCCATAGGAGACCAGGATAAGTACCTGGCTCCTGCCATCGGATCAGCGTGGTGCGCCGGCTGCAGCGCGCTGGCCGCGGCGGCCATTAGAGGGTGAACCAACGGCAAAGGAAGACCTTTCTCTCTATCTCTCTCTCTCACTGTCCACTCTGCCTGTCAAAAAAAAAAAAAAAAAAAAAAAAAAAGACTGAGGGGGTGTGGGTATGGGCATGTGGGGGCTCTAGGGTGTTTAAAAGAATCAGCGCAGAAGTCTGGGGGCTGGCTGATAATGACCCGGGATGCCGACAGGAGGGGCAGTTGGTATTTGGTTATTTTTTTATTTTTTTGTTTGAAATGCAGAGAGATAAGAGAGAGAGAGATTTTTCATTTGCTAAGTTCATTCCCCAAATATTCACAAAAGCTAGGACTGGCCCAGACTTAAGCCAGAAGCTCAGAACTCAATCTGGATTTCCCATGCGGGTGGCATGGACCCAAATACTTTTAGCCATCATCTGCTGCCTCCCAGGGTGTCCATTAGCAGGAAGCAGGAAGTAGAGCCAGGAGTGGAATCTGGGCCGTCTGATATGGGTTGGGGGCTTCCCAAGTGGCGTCTTAACCTCTGTGCTGAATGCCTGCCCCAGCGGTTGGTATTTCGTTCCCTGGGGGAGGTCTGTTTATCCTGTCTCACTTACTGAGCCACGTGTTTCCTGAGCAAGGGAGAAGAGACCTGAAGGGTGATGACATGGTGGTGACAACAGGGACCTTTCTCCCCATCCCCAAGTGCCAGGTCTCAGTTCCTAGGCTTAGAATGGGCACAGGATATGGGTGAATGTGTGAATGGGCCACAACCTTGTAAAATCCCTGAAAAACTTGAGAACCCAAATCACCATGCATGAGAAGGAAGCTGTGCGACTGCCCACTGGGTGGAAAGGGATCCTCCTAAAGGGGCCAAATATCCCAGGAAATCAGCAGGGCCTGGAGACGGCCCAGGGATGACTCCTGATGGTAACAGGTTGTGATGGGGCCACCATCTGTCCTCACTGAGCACAGATGGTAAACTAGGGCAGTGGCACCTGCCTACCCACCATCACCACATCCTTACCTGATAAGGTCAAAGGCATCCACTCTCTTCTCCCCTCCTGTTCCTCCTCCTTGGCCTAACACACCAATGGTTTAGGCCGGTGTTTGCAACATGGGCTGCACACTAGGATCACTGGAGGAGACTGAAAGTCTTGATGCCATTAAATACTCATGACTGTGATCCAATTAGGCAGTCTGAGCTGTGTGATAGACTGAAAACGGCTACTATGAAGAGGTGGAGTCTACTTCCTACCTCCTGAGTCTGGGTTGGCTTTGTGAATTGCTCAGGCTAACAGGATGTGGCAGAAGTGACAAATTCTGAGCTGGTCCTCTAGAGACCTTGCAGCTTTCATTCTCAGCTTCGGGGAGGCTGCCACCATGTGGACAAGCCAGGGGCATGGGAGGCCAAGTGGAGAGAGAGGCCCAGCCATCGCAACAGTCCCGTGAGGGGCCCAGCCATGGGAAATCCTAGCTGGCATCATGTGGCGCAGATGAACCATCCCAGCAGAGCACAGCCAAAGCTGCTAACTCACAAAATCCCAAATAGATCAGTAATTGCTTCAGATAAAGAATGAAAAGAGCTGTGCCGTGATTCCAATGTGTGTCAGGGGCTGCAAATCTTTGGGCCAGAGAGGAGGAAAGCGAGGGGGCTCTCCAGGGTGTCCCTCTCCTCCACAGCCACCTTCCAGGGTCACTCTTCTAGTTTGCACTTAGGAGAGGAGTGGAGACAAGGTCTAATTTACACTTGAACTTGAAGTCCTTATTGCTCAGTGACATTAGTTTAACAAGCAGAAATGGCAAAAAATATATGGATCAGATCACGACATTGCTCAGGGACCTGTTCCTCAGTGGGGAATGGAGCCTTTTTTTTCTTAAAAAAAAAAAAAAAAGTGCAGATGAGGAGGCGATGAGAAAAAAATACAACTGCCCCCTTTTTGTGCCTTGACAAGCACAGGCTCTTCAATAAACCAGTGACCATAAATTAGTGACCGTGGCACAGATGGCAGATGATACCACAGGAACGGTCGGTGTTATCATTCTGAATGGGGCCTCATGCCATGAACCCTCAGTGTTTGGTGATGAATAACCACTCCTGTTGTCACTTGTGTCACCAGTATAATCACATTATTATTATCCTATGTGAATATGCCCAGTGCGGTGCCTGGCACATGGCAGGTGCTGAAGGAAATGTAACCACTATTATTATATGTGCTCAGCCAACAGAGGAAGTCATTAACTGACTCTAAATAAAGGCACTTGGCCCCAAGCACCGAGACAACACTGAACGGAAGCTGCTGTCACCATCATAACACAGGCCTGGCCCCAGGCTGCCTGCAGTCCGTGCCCTGCAGCAGACCAGCCACCCTGGGGAAGCTACTGAAGGCCTCCCCATGGCCCTTACCTTCTGGGTACTTGTAGAGGCCTGTGATATCCACACGGGAGTCGCTGCCCACTGCCTTGGTGCTGATGCATCGCCCGATCTTCTTCGTATCCGAGTACACGCGCTCCCGGCTCTCGTCCTCATGCCACAGCCAGATGACGTAGTCGGCGTTGACCTCCGCAAACACAAAGGGGCCGTCATGGGCCAGGTGCACATCGCCTTCCCGGATGGCAGTGACTGAGGCCGGGCCACACTGGAACACGCCTGGGTGGGAGGGCGGGCTGTAAGCATTAGAAAAGCGAGGGTCTGGGACCCCGCCCCCTTGAACTCTACCTTCACTCTCCTCCTGGGGGGTGGCATCTAGAACCTGCCAGCCATTGTAAGCGGGGCCCAGGTCCGGCCGGGCAAACCAGCTCTCGTTCCAGACATGGAAATTCCTGCACACAGACAGAGCGGGTAAGGCAGCCTCGCGTGAGCACAGAGGCCCACGGGAGGGAGCCCTTCCGGGAGCCAGGGGAGGATCCCCTGCCCTGCATGCGTAATGTGGCTGCATCTTGTGAATCTGTCATTCAATCACACTGATGGACACATGTCACTCATGTGTTTGTGTATGTAAACACTCTTCAAAACATTTGTGGAAAAATGGAATTAAAGGACAAATTTATTTTGGCGCTAAACATTTTTGAAATGCATGCATAGTTTTTCATAATGTCTACTTTTCATAAACAAGACCCTTATGCATGGATTTAAATTTTTTTGGCATTGAAATAAACATCTTTTAATTCTGTTTTTCCATACACTCCTTGAGGCACCCTTGTATGTGTGTGTATAAACATATGTGCATATAGATCAACACTTGCTGGTTTAGGTCCCAGACACACAGCTGTCAATGAGGCAGATCCTTGCCCTTGCAGCTTACATCATGGCAAGGCAGACGGCAGGGGAGACGGGAAAACTGAAGTTAGCAAGTGAGAGACAGATGCTAGGAATAAAAAGGGAGCTTGAGCTAGGGAAGAATCACTGGAGACCCACCCTAGGTTAAGGTGCAACCTACATCAAAGGAAGAGTGAAGGGAACAGTGTTCCAGGCAGAAGGAACAGCATATGCAAATGTCCTGAAACAAGAAAAGGTTTAGCGTGTTCAAGGAACAGATGGCATCTCTGGGGTGAGACAAGCGTGGGTTGGTGGTAGCGTCTGGGGCTCTGCAGGCTGTGGGAAGGAGTCCTGGCTTCTATGTCACTTGCACAGGGGTCCCACAGGAAGGAAGGGGTGGAGACAAGCCCGATTCCTGGTTTGACCAGTTTCACATTACAGCTGACCCCACAACCCCTCTTACAGGGGTAACTGCCTTTGCTTGGGGAAATATCTTGGTAAACCTTTAGGAGTAGAGGCCCCGACCCCACATCAAGAAGAAATGCATGCCGTGTCGTTCCTCCACGAGGAAAGGAGAGTGTGATTTTTAGGTGCTTCTGAAAGGAGAGAGAATGAGGAGAACCAGAGAGACGAGAAGTGAGGGGCAGAGAGAGGGTGCAGGGCTGAGACCAGACCGGGACGGGGCCCCGGGCACACTCCTGGGGCTGGCTGGGTTTCTGCGCTATGCTGTCATCACCGTCTCCCCTGACCCTGAGCAAGCGGGCTCAGCGTGCCTGACTGCACACGGGGGAACAGACACGCGGTCAAGGTTACTCACAGAGCCTTGCTTGTGACAGCAAACATGTGGAAGCCATTGGAAGGTCCACCCATAAGGGATTCTTAGAAGTAATGGTGCTTTCATATAATTGAGAGGCAGACACCTTCAACCCCTTGCTCACCCATACCCTAGCTGGGTGGCCTTGGACAAGGCACCTCTCTGATCCGGGGAGGGCTCCAGTTTCCACACACAGAACTGGGGTTTCAGAGCGGTCAAATACGAGCATCCCGTTGAGACCCGACTCACGTGTTAGAGCCCCCACTCACCCTCAGGGCACCTCTCCCCACTTCCAGCACTGGCTCAGACTGGGGAGCTGGGCTCTGGATCTGCCACTCGCTGGCTGTGTTACAGAGGAGGGCTTGCTGCACCTGCTGGGTTTGGGGGACCCCAGTGGGCTAGGCTAGGGACTGCCTCTGACCCCACCCTTGCGACCCAGCGGCCCAGGACTCACCACATGCTGTCTTCTGTCAGGTCCTCCAGGGTCCGCCCGAAGGAGTCCACGTACTTGTCCACGCTCAGGTTCCTGTCCGTGTCATGGGCTGAGTTGAAGTTGGACACGATGCGTGTCGCGATCCCCAGGCACCTGAGGACTGCAGAGCAGAGGCCGAGGAGGCTCCAGGGACAAGCAGGGGCCCAGACCCCAAGGAAGGTCCCCCCGCAGGCTGCCCTGTCTCCTCTCGCCCAGCTTCTCCCTTCTCTACTTTGGCAGGTAGCAGGGCAGAGACTCCTGTCTCTGCTCTCTCAGGAACACCACCACCTCCCAGGAGCTCTGGGGTGCTCCTGCCACCACCATGTGATCAGGCTCTGAGCCCAGCAGGACCTCGGGAGCCACGTAATAGAGCCTGCTGAGCCCAGGGCTTGCCCAAGGCACTCAGTGAATGAGAGGCGGAGGGAGGTGGCACAGAGCCTGCAGAATCGGAGATCAGAGGTTAAGTAAACAAACTGCCTGGTTTCTTTCTTCAGTAACCAGACTCCTAATTGTTATGTCCTTGAGAGGGAGGGGGAGAGAGAGGGAGAGAGGGAGAGAGGGAAAAAGGGAGAGAGGGAGAAAGCTCCTGTCCTCTGATTCACCCCCCAGTGCCCACAACAGCCAGAACTGGAAATTCCATCCAGGTCTCCCGTGTAGGTGGCAGGAACTCAACTACTGAAGGCATCAGCATGCCCCCACCCCCCCGCCCGGGGATGTGCGCTAGCAGGAGACTGGAATCAGGAGCTGGGGCGTCTAACTCAGGTGCTCTCAGGTTAGGTGCAGGCATTGTAACTGCTGGGCTAAATACCCACCCATTCACCAGACTTCTACTTCCCTATCATCAATGAAGGCAGACTGCAGTGTATTCAAATATATGTAAAACATGCAAATGAGGGATCAGGCTCCAGGAGGGGGCCTTTCTCTCCCAAGGTACCTGTGCACATGACTCCAGCGAAGACCCAGCACTGGCCGTATTTGACGGGCTTGAATCTGCCCTTGAACCACTTCTGCAGAATGGCCACACTGCCGCTCCAGTGCAAGGGGCTGGTGCCGCCGCCGTATTTGCCCTGCCACTGGCCTTGCACCACGCCCCGGTCGTTGTTGCTGTTCACCTGGGCAGAGGAGACCCAGGTCCAGCCACCAGCAGGACTCCCAGCCTGCTGTCCCAAAGTCATCTCCAACCTGGGGCCACCAAGCCAGCTGGGGTCATCCCTGACTTCTAAGTCATCTAAAAATGAGGAGATTGGGGGGCCAGTGCTGTGGCATAGCGGGTAAAGCCACCATCTGCAGTGCCAGCATCCCATACAGTCGCTGGTTCGAGTACTGGCTGCTCCACTTCTGATCCAGCTCTCTGCTGTGGCCTGGGAAAGCAATAGAAGATGGCCCAGGTCCTTGGGCCCCTGCACGCACGTGGGAGACCTGGAGGAAGCTCCTGGCTCCTGGATTTGGATAGGTGCAGCTCCAGCCATTGCAGCCACCTGGGGAGTGAACCAGCAGATGGAAGACCTCTCTCTCACTGCCTCTCTTTCTCTCTGTGTCTCTATGAGTAACTCTGACTTTCAAATAAATAAATACATCTATTAAAAAATGAGGGGGTTGGGTATCTGCCACCTTAAGACACTACTTCTTGGTACCACTTATCATTCTAAATTTTCTTCCATTTGGGTACTCTGTAGTTGAAACTCTTTCCTGTTCCCAGTGATCTGTTTTGGAGTCTGCTGGTGTAAGAATTATACAGACCATCGACACGTCTTAGATGCTTACTGTGTGTCAGGCACTATTCCAAGGACTTCATGCATTCCATATTAGCCTAAGTGTATAGTTCCCATTATTCTCTCTCTCTCTCTTTTTTTTTTTTTTAAGATAAGAAAACTGAGATTCAGAAGGGTGGAGGGGCCCATCCACACCACAGAGTGAGTGAGTCACAAGGCCATTCCTGAGTCAGGCCTCTGCCTCGGGGCCTGCACTGCTCACCCCTGGGCAGGGGTTCCCTGTCGTCTGGGTTCGGTCGCCACCGCTGGTTCTCTGTGCTCCGTCTCTCTGAGCCCTTGTGGAATCGGGGGCATCAAATATGAGAAACACAGCTTTGTCCATTTTTGGAATCTCAGCTCCCTACCAGCTGCATGAGATGAGAGGCAGGAGGGCCTCCGGCTGTGTTTTGAGGGGGGGCCTGGGACTGAGCACAGCTGGCACGCCTGCCACAGAGACGGGGCTGGGGGTGGGCAGTCTGTGTCCCTTGTGCCTGAGCCTGAGCTGACCAGCAACCGAGGAGGAGGTGGTGCTGGGCCGGTGTCTGGGCCCAGGTCTTCTAGGACTGGGTGTTTCCACTCCTCTTTCTCGCAACAGTGATGGCGTGGGAAGCCAGCAGCCACGTGTGGGCCGGCCATACCCGTGAGGAAGCCAAGCTAAGCACGTGCATGGAGAGGCAGCGTGCGGACGGGCCGGTCCCAGCTGTTCCAGGGACTGGGGCCAGGCCAGGGGACATCCCAGCTGTACAGCACAGGCAGGAGCCAAGGAACCAAGACCCCAGCAGGTGTGGGATCCACCAAAGCCGTCCAGATGTCTGTTCTGACACCCCCAGCTGACGAGCAGAGACAAGCGATTCTCATGGCGTCCTGCCCAAATCCCTCATCTCCCAGATCCCAAGCCTCACAAGGAGCGTTCCCCACCGAGCTTGGCGGTGCACTGGCACCCAGCAAGAGAGAATGACAGCAAGGGGCACTTCGGACGAGCAGTAGGGTGCGGAGGGCGTGTGTGTGCAGGGATGGCTGGGGGCGCCTCACCATGGCGCTAATGACCCTGGTGACGTAGACGGGGTCGCAGCGCCGGCACACGTCAGTGGCTGGGTAGGCTTGGTGACTGGGGCTTCGGTCCAGGATGGCGAGGCAGATGCTCAGGATGTCCTCTTCAAACTGCTTCGCAGAGAGGCCGTGCTCAGAGGCTGGGAGCTCTGGCCAGGGGCTCACGACGGCGCAGGGGACCCTGCCCCACCCCCACCCCCCAGGGACATCATAGTGCATCAGATAGCCTTCCTTAAGGTTCACCAGAGGAACCAGAAGCTCAACCTTAATCATGCTCCTTTTCTGTTCAATAACCTCCCATGGCTCCCTACTACCACAGCAATGTCACACACAGCTATCCCACCCATATTCTCCATTGGGCTACACGACGTCTTCAGATATATTTGAATTAGTGGACAAAATTGGAAAGCTTGGCCGGCGCCGCGGCTCACTAGGCTAATCCTCCGCCTTGCAGCGCCGGCACACCAGGTTCTAGTCCCAGTCGGGGCGCCGGATTCTGTCCCGGTTGCCCCTCTTCCAGGCCAGCTCTCTGCTGTGGCCAGGGAGTGCAGTGGAGGATGGCCCAAGTGCTTGGGCCCTGCACCCCATGGGAGACCAGGAGAAGCACCTGGCTCCTGCCATCGGATCAGCGCGGTGCGCTGGCCGCAGCGCACCGGCCGCGGCGGCCATTGGAGGGTGAACCAACGGCAAAGGAAGACCTTTCTCTCTGTCTCTCTCTCTCACTGTCCACTCTGCCTGTCCAAAAAAAAAAAAAAAAAATTGGGGCCGGCGCCGCGGCTCACTAGGCTAATCCTCCGCCTAGCGGCGCCGGCACACCGGGTTCTAGTCCCGGTCAGGGCGCCGGATTCTGTCCCGGTTGCCCCTCTTCCAGGCCAGCCCTCTGCTGTGGCCAGGGAGTGCAGTGGAGGATGGCCCAGGTGCTTGGGCCCTGCACCCCATGGGAGACCAGGAAAAAGCACCTGGCTCCTGGCTCCTGCCATCGGATCAACGCGGTGCGCCGGCCGCAGCGCGCCGACCGCGGCGGCCATTGGAGGGTGAACCAACGGCAAAGGAAGACCTTTCTCTCTGTCTCTCTCTCTCACTGTCCACTCTGCCTGTCAAAAAAAAAAAAAAAAATTGGAAAGCTAGGGAATTTAGACATACATGCATGGATGCTTGGTCTCTGAAAACGTGGAAGGCAGGGACCCCTGGGCTCACTGTCCCACGTGGCACTGGAGGGGGCTGTGCCTTAGATGGAGCCCAAGCTCGCCCGTGCTGCAGCACTGCCCAGCCCCTGCCCCCGGCTGCAGCAGGGTGGTCAGGGCCTTGTCCACCTTCCTCCAGGCAAGCGCTGGAGCCCGGGGAGATGGAGCTCCTGCAGCAGGCTCAGGGCCTCCCTCCTCTCCTGCCTCTCTGCTGCTCGCTCCACTCAGCCCTGCCTGTCCATCTCCTGCCCCAGCCTGAACACCACTAAACCTTGTGCAGCCCCCGAGGGGACTCCCTTCCCATGTCTCCTGCTTCCCTCTGCGTCCGTCTCTGCTGCTCTCACTTGCTTTCCCAGTGGCATCTGGCGTAGGACCGTCTCTAAGAGTGGCCTTCCCCGCTCAGCAGCATGGGCACTGCCTGGGAACCTGTTAGAAACGTGGATTCCCAGGCCTCACCCTCCACCCGTGCAGTCAGCAGCGCTGGGGGCGGGCCCCGGTCGTCTGCATTTTCAGGAACCCTCCAAGAGCTCCTGCGGCTTGTCCAAGCGTGAGAACCAACGCTTGAGCCACGCATCCTGCCGCATTCTGTTCTGGCAGCCTCCCAGGCACCCAGCGCAGGCCCTGACACAGTGAGCGACAAGGCACAAACACATGGATTTGCTCCAAGAGACAGCAGAGCTTGTGCCATCTGGGAAGCCATGAGCAGACAGAGGGGCCCCGGGCTTGGCCATCCTCATGCGCCACCCCCCCTCCGCCCCGTCCTAGTGTGGCTGGGCCCCTGGAGACCTGCCCGAAGTTCCAGCCCTGGGCTCGGATGTGCTTCTCCACGCCCCGGAAGATGACGCCGCTGTCATTGAGCACGTACTCCTGTCGCTCCTCCTCGGAGTCCAGGAACACATCGTCCTCTGAAAAGCAGCCATCAGACCCCGGGGTGGGTGAGGGCTCTGGCCCGGGCAGGGGGCCGGCAGGAGAGGGCTCGCCTGCCCTGCCCTGACACCGCCTCCCTCCTGGGACCAACCCCAGCCCAGCTCAAGACTGAAGGATTCTAGGAGCCCCGAGCCTTCGGGGTGTTCCTGCTTGATGCTGACTGCGGCCCCAGAGCTCAGGATAAAGCACACTCCTCGTGGCTACCGCCAGTGAGCCCACGGTGCACCTGGTGCCACACGAACATTAGCCCGATGAACCCTGACCACGCCCCTAGGAGGCAGGAGGCAGGTTATCATTCCCACCTCACAGGTGAGGAAGCTGAGGCTCTCAGAGGAAGCAGCGACTTAGCAGAGCTGGGGGGGGGTCACAGGTGTCTGATCTCCTCCTGGGCACCAGGCCCCACCTATTGCCCACCGAAGAAACTCTTGGCTCCTGCCCCCCCCCCCCCAGGCACTTGCCGCCCATCTCCTGTGCCTGGGGCCACCTCTGTCCCGGCCCAGCTCTTGGCATTCACGTCCCTGTCCCCTAGCCCGTGTCCTGGGCCCCCTCCAAGGGCAGGCCCGCCTCCAAGGACCCTTCCAGGGTGCCCTCTGTCCGGGCTGCGGCAGCTCCCACCTGGGCACCAAGGGTTGAAGAGGAGGATGAACTCGCCCAGCTTCCGGTCACTGTGCTTGCGGCGAGAGGAAGCCCTGGCGCTCAGCAGGTAGCGGCCGATGGCGGCGTCCGGCGGGCTGCTGAGGCTGACGGCCACGGTGCTCTCCGTCTGGGCCTCCTTCACGGCCGTCCAGGCGGCACTCACCTGCAGCTCCGACGTCTCGAACTCGGCTTTGGTGTGGAAGGCCTCGGAAGCCCGGGGTCCTGGTGGTGAGGGGAGGCAATGGAGAGACCCCACCCCCGCCCGTGGGAGGCCAGCTTCAGAGCGCCGGAAGGGCTCCAGGCCTGAGGCCCAGCCTGCACCCCGTGTGTGCATGAGTGTGAGCACTGGGGATGGGGGCTCCCGGAGCCAGCGCCGGGTGGGAGGCACAGCAGCTGTCCTGACTCCCAGCCTGGGCCAAGGTGCTTGGTTCCAGAAGTGCTCAACGACTTTCCACACCCTTCCAGAGCCCTTTTGCACACGGTGCCCAAGAGGTCATCCCACCTGTCCCACTGTCACAGCTGTCTCCCACCCTGCAGGCGGAGGCGACCCGTCCCCAGTTTCTTCACCTGCAGGCCACCAGGGGGCGCCGGCGAGCCCAGTTACCTGTCTCCACCGTGAAGATGAAGTTCTCATCGCTGTCCGGGTCTCCGCTCACCTCCAGCGTGAGGCCGAACACCTGGCCCCTGCGAATCACCAGCTCAGGGCAGGGGTACTCCTCGGTGCGGTGGGCAGCGCCGTTCCTCGGGCGTTGCCAGTCTACCTTGGTGACTCTGACCCCTGAACAAGGGGCGGGGCGGGGCGGGGGGAGAGGGGAGAAGAGACCAAACTCTTGGCACATTTCCCCTCACCGCGCTGGCCCTCCCGCGCTGGCCCTCCCGCCCGCGCCATCCTGCCGGTCGGGTGTTCATCCGCCACCACGGATACCACGGATACCACACCGCCGATCCCGATGGCTTCTGTGAAGCCGTGACGAATGCTGGGTTAGCGAGTACTGAACTGCGGCTCTTAGGGAAGACCCGGAGTTTGTTTCCTGCGAGCCTGTGGTCGCCACTCACTCACCAACCCAGGGACAGGTGACCTCGTATTATGTGCACTGCTTAAGGATGCCTCATTTAGTGTGTATGGTCCGTTCCTTCACAGGCCTCCAGGGGCTTTAACCCATCGCGTGATTTCTCTGTGAGATTTTCTTGCGCCCAGGATGCCACACAGCCCTTCAGTGCACTCCCAGGGCCATGTGAGACAGGGAAATCACCATGAAAACGTACAAAAAATGCCAAGGACGCTTGTGTAACTTTAGCTGGGGGCACCGATGTTAGCAGACTCAAGGTTTTGCCACCCTGTGCATGCTTGCAAATAACCCCGAAAGCGCCCAGAGCATTGATTTTGGAGTGAGAAATAAATTGTAGCAAGTGAGCCAATGTGTGGGTGCAGGATCCACGAATGTGGGGATCCGCACAGACGGAAGGGGGTTTGGCTCAGAGGTTAGGACAGCGCTGGAGTTACCAGCACGCCACATCAGAGTGCATGCAGTTCCAATTCCCGCTCCCTGTTAGTGCGCACCCTGAGAGGCAGCAAGGGATGGCTCAAGTCCTTGGGTCCCTGGCCCCTACGCGGGAGACCTGGATGGAGTCCCTGGCTTCCAGCTTCAGTGTGGCCTGGCTTTGGCTATTGTGGGCATTTGGAAGCCAATGGGAGATTTCTGTGTGTCTCTGAAGCCCTCTGTATCTCTACCTTCCAAATTAATAAATTTTAAAAAGTCCATGAGGATGGAATTAAAAGGCAAACTCATTTTGGCACAGAAGCTTCTTGGAATCCATGCATACAGCGGTTTTCAGTCAAGACCAGTCTGCCTCAGAGTCAAATCACCTTCCAATTCCACTTCCGTGAGTTTTGTGCTGTCAGTGCCAGGCTGGTGTCTGGTGCTGGGGGGGGGGGTGTCTTGCCCTCCACAGGTGGCCCTGGGGGCTGTGTGGCCCAGCGGTTACAAGCAGAGATTCTGGAGGTAGCCGATATATACTGAAAACCTAACTTGGCCATCTACCGGCTTCATGAACTTCCACTTATGCTCCCTTGTGCCTCAGTTTCCCCCCTTGCAGGATGGGAATAGTGGTGTGTTGAGATTGTGTGGATGACTGCCTGCCGTGTAGAGCTCTCGGAGGCCCCTACATGCAAGTCCCAGACGTGCAAGGGTGACACCTGAGTAGGCGGAGCCGCCCGTGACTGTTGTTGTTTGTCTACTTCCCCTTTCAAGAATATCAACCCCATGAGGGCCGGGAATCCTGTTTATTCACTAATGGATCTTCAGTCCTGATACATGGAAACCACTCAACAAATATTTCTTGAATGCATGAATGAATGAATGAATGAATGAGAAAGCTGAGGCTGAGGGAAGTGCTACGACACATCAAATGGCGCACAAGCAAGCAGGGGCCAGAGCCGAGTCTGCGGGTGGCACAGTTTCCAGCTCCTGACCACTGAGTGTGACCAGATAACAAAGGCCCGGACGTATTCCAGTGCACTGGTATGCGGGTGCAGATAGAAACCGAAACTGGCTCCAGCCCTCTCTCCCCTCATTGAGAGGAACAAATGCTGAAATGTTAGGCTCTTTGCGGTCAACGCTGTCTAGCCAGGACCACCAGGAACCCAGACTTGCCTTATTTCTCTCTACAATGAGACAGCACACCCAGCAGGGGGCGTCTCGGGAGGAGGAAGTTGGAAAAGCCTTGCAGGGCTTGGGCTTGGCCTTGGGTCAGTGACTGGGGGGAAAAGCTGGAGGATGCAGGCTTTGGCATGGACTGGCCTCTGCCGGGAAGCAGGGCCCATCTGTGTGGGAGCGTCTTCATAATCCTACCACGGAAGTGGACGTGACGACGGGGAGCCCCGTCCTAGGGGGTGAAGCAGCAGCTGTCACACTGGCCAGCAGGGGTGTCACCATCGCTGTGGCTTGTACGAGGTTCATGTGTTTGTCCGTGTGTGCCCCATCATGGAGTACACAGGCCTCATTTCTGTCCTGATCTGCTACCGTCACCAGGTGGCCTGTCACTGGTGTTCTACGCAGCAGTCTGGGTTCAACCAGAAGACACCACGGCCAGGCCCTAGCCGCCCCTAGCCCCGGCCAGCTCTTAGATCTGCCATGCTTTTGACTCCATGGCCCACTGGTGGGCAGCCGCTGCAATGGAGAACCACTTGCTGAGTGCGGCCGTGATGATTCACAGAGCTGGCCGCACGTTGGAGTGACCCAGGAGCCCTCCCCTGGAGGCCCCAGTTTAGTCATCGCAGGGAGCTGCCTGGACACTGAGCATTTGGAAGCTCCCAGGTATTTCCAACCTGCAGCCTCTGCCGAGAGCTGCTGATCTGGAGCCCAGGGTCTCCTAGGCTCTGAGCACGCCAGTGCTGGTGCCGTGGACATCAACAGAAGGGAGACGGGGCCTGGCTCTCAGAGGAGCCGCAGCTTAAAGCTCCCAATAGGCCAGTGCTGTGGCTCACTTGGCTAATCCTCTGCCTGCGGTGCCGGCACCCCAGGGTTCTAGTCCCGGTTGGGGTGCCAGATTCTGTCCCGTTTGCTCCTCTTCCTGTCCAGCTCTCTGCTGTGGCCCGGGAAGGCAGTGGAGGATGGCCCAAGTGCTTGGGCCCTGCACCTGCATGGGAAACCAGGAGGAGGCCCCTGGCTCCTGGCTTCAGACTGGCGCAGTGTGCTGGCCGCGGTGGCCATTTGGGGGGGTGAGCCAACGGAAAAGGAAGACCTTTCTCTCTGTCTCTCCCTGTTTGATTCTGCCTGTAAAAAACAAAAACAAAAACAAAAACAAAAACAAAAAACAACTCCCACTCCCAATACAGAGCCATTCCCAGGGGGGATGTTTGTGTGACTGTGGCTTTGCTGCCCCAGGGATGGAGCGAGGCCAGCAATGCCAGTCACCCTGCAATGGGAAAGAACGGCTGAGCCAAGCCTCGTGCAACACTCAATCGTCCCACCCACTAGTCCTTCAGGGAAAAGATCTTCTTCCTATTGGCTGAGCCAAAAGCCCAGCTTGGCTTTACATGCATCTTCTCATTGAGTTTGGCAATAGTCTTATATATACCGAATTCATAGGAATGCAACTATCATACAAATTGAAGATAGCCCCTTATTTGCCTGGAACTTTCTGGGTTCTCTCTTTAGGTTTTGGAAAGCTTATCACAGAGGGTCGCACTGCTGGTACCGGGTCCCCAGCACAGCCCACGGGGGTGAGCGTGCGTCTAGCTTGCGCATTCACAGGGCTCCCATATACCCGGGGCAGCGTCTGAGCACCACATCATGAAACATTTACGCATTTAGCTGTGCTTGGAAGTTGCTTTTCCTTTTCTTTACCTCTTTTTTTTTTTTTTTTTAAAGGCAGAGTGGACAGTGAGAGAGACAGAGAGAAAGGTCTTCCTTTGCCATTGGTTCACCCTCCAATGGCCGCTGTGGCCAGCGCGCTGCGGCTGGCGCACCGTGCTGATCCAATGGCAGGAGCCAGGTGCTTTTCCTGGTCTCCCATGGGATGCAGGGCCCAAGCACTTGGGCCATCCTCCACTGTACTCCCGGGCCACAGCAGAGAGCTGGCCTGGAAGAGGGGCAACCGGGACAGAATCCGGCGCCCCGACCGGGACTAGAACCTGGTGTGCCGGCGCCACAAGGCGGAGGATTAGCCTAGTGAGCCGCGGCGCCGGCCTCCTTACCTCTTATATTAGTTAGGATGTGATTTTTTTTTCTTAAAGTGATGCATGGAGGTAGGTTATATGAGCCCATTTAATCGAGGGTAATGGAGAAGCATTGCAAAATATGCTTTATTTAGGGGGGGCATTAAGGAAAAGAGAGTTGATGTCTTAGTTACCTATCACTGCTCAACCCAGAGTTTAGCTCAGAAAAACAAGAATGCCAGCCCAGCACCACAGCGTGCCTTCGTGGTTTCTGTGGGTCAGGAGTTGGAGCGAGCTGGGCCTCCGAGTCCCTCATGCAGTTGTTATCCTATGTCAAGGGGGCTGCAAGCCTTGAAGGCTGGGGGGAGCACCTCCAAGGTGGCTGACTTCCGTGGTAGGAAACTCGGTGCTGGGTGTAGCCTGGGGACTCGCTTCCTCTCCATGGACCTCTCCACGGGACTGCTCCATGTCTGCCTGGCAGGTCCTGGCTTTCCCAAGCAAATGATCTAAAGGACCAAGGCAGAAGCCGCAGTGCCCTTCATGCCCTGACCTTGGAGGGGGCATGCCGTCACCTCCACCTTACTCCGACAGTCAAGGCAGCCCTGAGGGTCTGTCCTGCTCCACTCCACAGGTGGCTGGGGCTGGGTCGGGCCCAAGTTGGGAGCTGAGAACTCAATCCAGGTCTCCCAGCTGGGTGGCAAGGATCCAACTACTTGAGCCCTAAGCTGTTGCTTTCCAGGGTTTGCGCTGGTGGGAAGCTGGCGTTGGTAGCGGCATTGGCTGCTCTGGGATGGGACGCAGGAGTCTTAACTGCTGGGCCAAACGAGCACCCCGACTGTATTCTTACAGGATGGCTGCAGTGGAACCCCCCATCACCTACTCTTCTTATGCTACGAGGTGGCTAATCCTCCCCTTGAGAGATGGGGTATAGGTCCCCAGCTCCTGAGTCTGGAAGGCTTGTGGATAAAACAGAATGATGCCTTGTGACTTCCAAGATGCTCCAAGTTGGCCCAGCTTCTTCCTGGTGCCCCTGAGCTGCTAGTCCTTGGACACCAGGCACTATCCAAGGAAGAAGCCCAGATGGTCCCTGGAGAGGCTCGCACACAGTGGAGCCACGG